CGTCCAACGTGATGTTCAAGGAAAACACCCTTGCTTGGCGTTAGGGTTATCTTTGTCTGATATTTACATTAGTTTGATGGTCTTAAACATTAAAGTGGGGAAAATATGCAAAAAAATAAGAATTTGAGAAGAGGGAAAATACTTTTTCACAGCACTGTATGTCTTTCGGACCACAACAGAGCTAAATACTGGACTTCCATTAGTCATACTGATTAAACACTTCAAATAAATGTGTTTGTTGGATATGTAAATAACATGAAGCAACACATTTAACATCCACTAACGGGTTGTTCAATCATCATTAAAGAAAGAATATCCTGTTTCTAATCATCCCATAGCTGAAAAAATACATTTTTATTTTATTCACTGAGTTAAAGGCACGGCTTTAGCAGTAGATGATTTCTTTTTTTAACAGAGGATGGCCCAGAGTTATCAAATCTATGAATATGCATGATCATATTACAATAAAATGCCTGCAAAACTAATGAGTCCCTTTGGCCTCAGCCGTGCTAATTAGAATGCCAACATGCTAAGACAGCAAACCTGGTAAACACATACACTGTATAGGTGAATACTTGACCACAGGCTGTCGATAAATGTAAAAATCTTTTATGCAAAGTCAGTGTCACTGACATTGTGAGCATGTTAGCATGCTGAGCTTAGCATTTAGCTCAAAGCATGGCTGTGCAGTCCCAGAAACAGTAGCAGGAGCTGTACACTCTCATTCTGTAGCATTATTGAGGTGATAAAGGTGGAGTTAGACCCACTTTACCAGCTGTAGATCAATAATAATTACGCAGCAAGACACAGTCACTTCAAGTCACACTTTATTTTTCAGTGTTAACATTAAGACTTCCAGCATGTAGTCTAGAAACTACAAGTTAAATCACTTCAGCATGAGAAAGGCAAATGTGACAGCAGCTCTTTTTTTATTTTTATCCTGGAGGACTTCTGAAGCTGATGGCAGCATACCATCTGCAGCCAACCTGTCTGACGTTATGTTCATCCTAGCAGCTGAAGAAATATCCTCACTGCCGCCAATCCAGGCTGAATGTAAACATGAGAGCACAAAACTAATTCATTAAAAACTCCCTGTGTATTGCACTGAAAGTTCACCTCAGGGCAGGATCATCACGAGAACTATTGTGTGTAAATAACTTCTGTTAATAAGATTATCAATAAAATATTATTCTTAAAAGCACTACGATCCTCCTTCAGATTTGTTCATAGAAAATATATGGAAGGAAATATTGGTCCATCATAGGAACACAGGTTGTATCATAGTGTAAACTGAGTAAGAAAATGTGTAGTGTCTGTATAAAGATATGTTGTTATATTAATGCTCTTGTCGGCATAGACTCTGTAGAAGAAAAGGCTCAGAAAAATCTCTGCTCGGTGCCCCTCAACAGGATTTCATATCAAAGAGCAGAAGAGAAAGAAGAGGCACCAGGAAGCACTTGATTGTTTAGATTCAGTTGTGTTGTTCTGAAGGCTTCTCCTGCTGGCATCAGTGCTGTTTGGGACGCTCGGGGTCGTACTTGAGGAGCAGGCTGAGGGAGGCGAAGCCAAACAGAAAGGTCTGGAAGAACCACATGAAGCGAGTGGTGCCGTTGCTGATACCTTTGTGACTGCAGGGAAACAGTTAAGACAAACAAGAGTCAGCGTCTAGTAACAAATGTACTTTCTGATTGTTTGACAAAGAATTGTGTTGAATTTACAACTCGAGCGTGTGTTTGAGACGGGCCATCAGGCTTTTGGAGGTTATACAACTTCTGATTTTCATGAAGTCGATGCAGAGATGAATGAGGATAAAAATGAGATTACAGCGCCATCTAGTGGACTTTAAGGTTCTCTTACCTGCACACCCTTAGTGCAATACAGGCCTCGAAGAGGTGAATGGCCCAGGTTGCCCACCAACTGTAAGACAAACAACATTTCTAATCAAACGATGATTCACACCCAATCTAGATTAAAAAACTAGCTCGGTCTGTAAACATAGTAAACATCAGGCAACGCTGAATTAACGAGAGTCACATGACAAGCAAACATCAAACCACCAAAGACTGAACAATGGCTCCCAGTTTCACCGAAACTCCTGTATGTCACATGACTGAAACAGACAACAGAGCATTAGGCTTTGATTGCTGTTTTGATGCTCTGGTGGTGCCACAGCAGTCATGTGACTTACACGACTAATTAGCAAGTCGTTGATGCAGAGGTAACGATCTGTGAGTGAGAAAAAGCAATAAGCAGATTAAAGGCGTATTCCAGCCCTGTCAGGGGGTGCTTAGCGCATCATTTAAAAGTGCTCAGCTCTCTTCTAGGTGAGGGACTGCCTTTGATTCTAATGTAGGATAATCTACACACGTTTTAAAGGAGCACGCGACAACAGAAGTGTTGTCTTGTGACCAGAGAAATTGTGTGTACTTATTCAGGAGGGGCAGCTCTCATGCTCACGGGAGCTACAGTAATGAAACAAAGCCTGATCACTTACCCTTTGTACAACACGTCGGCATAGTTATCCACAAGGTGTTTGCAGAAGCTGCCGAACACACCGAGGTACTCGAATGGGATTTTTTCTGGCGCAAACACAACGCACTGAAAACAAAGATAAACAGAGTAGTTCAGCGTTAACATAAACAAACCATAAATACATATGATGTATATCTGCAGAAAAAGTTGCCTGTTTGCAAATAGAACTAACCATTAACTATAGTTAATATGATCTAAATCACAATATGGCCTTGTGCAATATCAACATTGCAGGAGCTGCAGTTTTTTGATTAAGTTCAAATGTGTCACCAGATATCATTTTAAATGAGGTGTGGACCTACAAAGACGCCCAAACCTACAAATAATTTTCTTTGGATAAGAGAACATGCTCGTCGGTACAGACAGCAGTCAAAAAAATTGGAAACTTTCTTTTTTTTTTCTGCAGTGAAAAAGAAATTTAAAAATATCATTTCAATGTTTCTCAAAAATAAGCACAACATGACCTTTTTTGCACTTTTTCCAGCCCTACTGCTTAGACCTAAACTAAAACAAATTAGATGAATGACGCCGAAACAAAGATCATCTGTGTTGATTATGACTGTGAAATTATCTGATTTTAATGGTACACATCTGACCAAAAGAAGTGTTTAGTTCATCCTTTATAAGAAGACTCTGTCGTCTCCAATGTTCTGGTCCATTTGATGAAACTGGAAAGTCCAATGGTGGTCAAACGCCCTACCATCTGTTTAATCTCAGGCAAAGAGCTGCTTGTTTAATCAGAAGACACAAAGGGGCAATGATGAAGTGTCTAATTTTTAATTTTCTGTTGGTAAACCAGAACTGTGAATGGCTCTTTGAAGCAGTTTGGGTTGTGACTGCAGCAGCTCTGAGCATGACAAGGGGCAGCCTTGTTGAAAGAAATGCAATGAAATTTGACACAGTTTGGGATGTTCTGCTCTGCATCACAGTGGGTTGTTGTCTCAGGATTTTAACACGGAACTGCATATCTGGAAATTTTTTAGGATCTGAATGTGACTCCATATCATCTATATATGTTTAGAATCAGCCTAAAATACATAAAGTAGTTAACCTCAGTTATATCACAGTTACAACAGTATAAAGTGGACTTCAGGTTTTTGGGAAAATATCCAATGGCAACTATTCTAAAAGACATTACGTTTGTGATACAAAAATGGATTCAAACCAAGTAGTGGAGCATTATTACATGAGACACCATAAGAAACATGACTATCACTGTCAAATTTCCCCCATTTAGATAATAAAGTATCTGCCTAGCTACACAAAGATGGATGAATTTGGAAAATCACAGCTATGAAGTGCATCCTGGGTCACATACACTTTATAATGTGTACTCTAATTTAAAGTCTTTGTGACTTACTAGTTGCATCCAAGAAGTTTTTATTTTATTTGGAATTGATTAATTTTTCAGCCACAAGTTAAAAGACAAAATAATCTTAATCATTTATTCTGTACCTCCAAAGAACCGAAGGAAATGTGGTTTTACCCAATTGCACACAAGTACTCGAAAACATGCATGGTTTGGGGGAAAAAAACAAAACAAAAACGCACAAGGTGATGTAGCATTGTGTTGTGTCACTATTGTCTTCTCTGACCTGTCAGGTTTGTGTCCGTGTGGATGCACAGAACACACAAAGAGGTTTTGTGTAACGGGCCTCCACCCATCTGCCCAGAGACAGCAGGCCATTTACGGTCTGGATGTCAAACACACACCTAAATGCTGACTACCTGTCTTCAACTACTATTAGTTAGAAAACACCTTATGATGAATCAGGCTGGTTGTGCTCTTTGGTGCTCCATCTACATTCATCTACATTATACAAACATGGTAAGTGGTGGTTAGAGGGGTAAAAACCTGTACAGAAAACCACACCAATACACATTTCTGGCTGTTGTCCTCCACCACAGCAACACATGTCTGCCTTAAAGACATTTTTAAAATATTTTTTTAGTTGTTGGGAATATATTTTATTGAGCAAACTCGAGCTTATAGTTAAACCTCAGTTTCTATTCACGAGCTTTTCTGTGACAACATAGTTGAGCACAAGTATGTGGACGTTTGAGAGAAAAACAACAGCATTAAGCCAACGTTATTCTATCTTAAACAGGGTTTGGCAAGTTATTGTTTGCGTCTTAAAAAGATAATAAGATACCGGGGCAACAACATTAACTGGTTTGAGCTGCTCCAGTCAGTGGACGGTCACATTGTTCAACGGACTTTGCCCAGAACTTGTTCGACCTGTGCTCCGATAACAGACGATAAGATAAACATCAACTTAACAGTCACTTGTTTTTCCAAGATTAACCTGCCAACACAAGCCAGTTTAATGAGATAAAATAAAGGACGAAATAATGCAGAAAAGCAACAAGAAACCGAACAGCCAGTGATGGAGTGAGTTGTTTTTTAGGGGTAATAAACAACCCGGAGGACATTTTACGCAACACCAACACGCTGGCATTCACCTGAGCAGACACACAATGACAGCTAACTTCACTCTGGTTCATCTGCTGCTGCTGTCACGGACTTACGGTGAAATATCCAACCCCCAGGGTCACGGCGACGATCCAGAACAGGCTGCTTCGCTGAAAATAAGTGGCTCCATCACTTTTAGCCATAGCTGCTGCTGCTGCTGTTCTCTGCTGCTCCGGCTGATGTCTTCGTCTTCTTCTTCTTCTACTGATTGTAATGACGGTGACGTTACCGAGCAGTACCGCCACCTGCCGGAAAACAGCGGAACCACACGCTCACCAATGATAATAATACAGTCGTCTTCAAATGTATTCAGACCCTTCCATTAAAGAAAAGGCAAAATTCACAATAGTCACTCAAATAACTAGAAACTGAAAAAAGTAACAATAAATAAAAATTTGCTAAATTACATTTTAGTGTAGCAAGACATTGCTTTTAAATTGTGCTAAAAAAGAATAATTTAAAAAAAACAAACAAAAACAAAACTGTCCCAAACAAATTAGAGCATTTTGCTGATGAGCAGTAGTTAATGCTCAAACAAACAAACAAAAAAACAGAACAAAACAAAATAAATGTCTAATCAGAATTTCTTTCAATATTTATTTTTTTGACTAAGATACAAAACTGTCCACTGTAATGAACACTGCATACCAGTGGTTTAAAATGCATTAAATAATATTATATTAATACATGTTTTTCTGAAATACGATGCTTTAAATGTGTATGAAAGTATTATCACATTAAAATATGCAACTTTAATAAGTTTCCAGAGCAGAAATCTAAACTCTAGATGAAATCAGGTTTAATGTTTGTGTCCCAGGTTGCTGGTACATAAAGTCAAATTTTGTTTTACTTACGGAATGAGGGATATCTTATTATTTCTCTCCATAAATCAGAAAATACTAGGAACAGCCATAAATAAATAAATAAAGAATTTTTACCATGCTTTATGACAAATGTGTTTGCTAAATTATTTTATGAATGATATATAAACTTCAGAACATAAAGTGGAATACAATTGGAAAGTTTTGCGTATGTATTTGACGTATATGTAAGTGCTGCCGAAGTGGAACTTTCTGGCTCATAGTATGAAAAAATAAACTCATTCCATGCATTTTTATTAGAAACCACTATTTATACTGAACAGATATCACCATGAAGCCTCCACTGTTGATTACTTGATTGCATGTGTAAATAAACATCTAAATGTAGACCCATACTACATCAGGAAAGAAGACAGAACACAATAGTTTTGCCAGTAGTGTCTTCTCTTGAAGGTAATTGTTAATTTCACATGCATAGATACTCACATACACACATTTTTATTTTTGTATTTGTGTGTTTCTTGTAGAATAAAAGAAAACATGAGTAGATATTCCACAGGTGACAGGCACATTTCCACCACCATCAACCATTCTGGATTCATGATGTAATATTTTAGGAAAACAAATCTTAATACAAAGAATGATCATGTAGTAACACAGAGAAGGCTTGGGAGCCCAGTGGAGGAATTATTGCAACTGATGTGGCTTTAGCTGAAGTTTCAATAACTGTATATTATTTACAAAAAGGGTAAATAATATACTGCATGACCAAAACATAGCCTGGATATTGTCCCTCCTGGTTTTACTTCACACTGCATTTAGGACCCATTGTTAGATATGACTGTGGAGGGAGGAAAGCTGGTCAGTAGACTATGCTACAGGGTGGTAGGATGAATTTCATGTATTGCAGAAATGTGCACTGAAACAAACTGTAAACCACAATTTGACTGAAACTTGACAGATATTGACACTGTTACAAGTTGAAAATGTTTATTTAACTGTTGGATTTAACAGTATGTCACTACAATGCTGCCCTCTTGTGGCTGTATTGTACTTTAAGCATGTAGGTCAAATAACTTGACAAGTCAGATTGTTGGTCATTTCAGAGACCACATTGTTAAAATATTAAACTCTCTATTACTTTTTGTCCCCCACTATATAATGAAGACAACTATACAGCCAGACATTACATTACAGACATATAAAAGTCCTTCACAGTCCTAACAGTACAAACTATTCATATATACTAAGACTGTGCATTTTATTATAAGCAGATTCTGGAAGCTCTCATTCAGAAGATATACGTATTTAAAACTCTACACAGCAGGCATGCTACAGATATATAAGGTGTAGGTTTTCAGATACTGTGATTTCTTTATCACTTCTGAATTCACCATTATCGGTTTACCTAAACAGTTTATGACATTGTAATATTTGACCATTAAAACATGTGGGCACGCATAAACTTCTTTCTTTTTCTTTTGGTTATTTATACAACACTTCTCATACAGGGCAGCAATGCAAAGTGCTTCACAGCATTTGAAAAGATTAAAACATTAAAACATTAAAAACAAAACAAAAAACAAAAAAACAAAAACAGGAAAACCTGTACCCTCCATGTATACAGACATACACACACACACACAGTCTCACCACTGACCGTAGGGAGACATGGCATGGAACTGAGGCTCGTGGAAAACGCTACCATTGGGGCTGTCCAGACCAGTCGTAGACCATGACCGGCACCACCTCCTCCCCACCCCCACCCCCCGGCTCCCCGAGGGACCTGCAGACAGTCCCTCCAGCAGCAGTCTGGACACAGCCCCCAGTGTGGAGGACCCCCCTAAGGACACACTGGAGTTAAAAACTAAAAACTTCAAAGTTTAAAAGGCCCCATGTAAGATCAAATGAAAATTAAAAGAGAAAAACACATGAGAATATGAATAAATAAATGATAAGAACGCAAAAAGAATTTAAAGGTCAATTATAAGCCTGATTAAAAAGGTGTGTCTTTAACCTTCTTTTAAACATATCGACAGTCTCTGTGTTGTTATGTTTGGTTCAGGAGATATGATGCAAAATACAGAATTTGCAAAAAGCAGGAAGCACATTGGCCACCAGGGCTGTCACAAGGCATTTTAGCCATGACTTCAGTTCTGACCATGTTCAGGGCCACAAACTGAAGAAGTCTACAAAGTTTCATGGTCTTTTAAAAGAAGAAGAAGAAGAAGAGCAGGAATGCTCCAGTGAAATTCAGTGTTGTTTGCTTGTACTTGTTTAAAGGATGCATACTTTTCCCTCACATTATAATAATGCAAGATTTATCTGAATGAGCAAACACTTGCATGAAGTAGCAAAATGGGATAAAAACATATGCATTTCAAATGCTTCGTTATTCCTGATGTGGTTAAAACATCAAATGTTTTTCTACAACATGCACCTTTAATCAAACTTCCAGCATCACAGTGTTCCTGTTTGGAGGATTATGGACGGCCATTTACATGCGGTGATAAGCTGATCAGATGACTGTTTTAATTGTGTATATCTCTGTAGTGGTGGGATCAAACTAAACATGGCCCCTTATACTGATTTTAAGCAAGAAGCTCATTGGCTGAATCTGTGTGAGCTTTCTTTAACCACTTGATGATTGTATGTAAACTTGGAGACACTAAGTGTTTAATCTGTACCATTGCTTAATTGATAAGACTCCTTCCCCTCTTAATATTCTATCAGATTAGCTTTAGATAGTAAATTGCATTGTGCAAATGTATTGTTATTTAAAAAAAAAGTAAAATCCAGAATGTATTAAAATCTTTAGTTCAGATTAGCAGGTTTGGGAGTTTCCACCATAGTGGGCCAGAGGTGGGTGATGTACACTGTGTGATGGGATTTGGATAAAGCACAGAGGGAGCCGGTGGGACTCTCAGGAGCCGACTCCACACACCGAGACATTGATTTTGTGTGTGTCTTGTGTTGATAAAGACAAAAAGAAATGGTCATTGCTTTTTGTGTTGCATCAGATAACCGCGGTAGACTTCAAGCCGCATTGTTTTCTTATATAGTTAAAAAATACTCGAAGTCTGTGGGTGCACTTTGCTCTTTGACATGTTAGCGTTTACATTTTCAATGTGTTTCACATGCAGAGCTGATGTTACGTAATCAGTCAGTGCAACCAACAGGAAAAGAGGTCAAAGGTGTAAATAAGTCCAGAAGAGGACAGTTACTATGTATAGCAGGGCAAAAATATGCAAACATTTAAATAATCACATGACTGTTTTATGGCAGAGTGTCAATTCAGAGGAAGAAGGCTGACATAATGGGGTTAAAGGTCACCGTGTTGTGGCCTGGACATGTTAAAGTGTTTGACAAGCTTGCCGCTCACTTTGATGCATCCATTCATTGTAATGAGGCCGCTGTGTGGCAGCAGGTAAATGTCCAATTAATCACTGAAAAGCCCTCCTCTGTTTTTCTTTTTGTGATAGCTGAGAGCTGCTTTGCATATGAAAAGAAAATGAGTGCTGCTGATAGGCTTTAGTACAGAAGGCTGTTTTGTATTTTGCTGACACCTTTGAGTTAAATATTCTTTAAGGCTTGTGTTGGTTCATCAACAGTTTGCAAAGCTGCCCGTGTTTGTGCTTAATACTAATCGCACTGGTTCCCAGAAGCCAAGTCTGAATTAAAGGATAGTAACAGCTTTGCATTATATTATGTTATATCTTGGCATTGCACATTTCTGAGCATTTGGGCTATGAAAAATACTGACATAATATGCATGTACATGCTATTTAATAATTATGTAAAATCTAGAATAATTACTAATAAAATGTGTCAATGACCACTAAAGCCCAATGTATGTTTCATCTGTTCACGGGATCTTTAAAATAAAAGCAAAAACCATTAAAAAGACAAAAACAATCTAAATATATAAAAATAAAATAAGGAAAAAGACAAAATCATGAATGAGAAAGAAATGAAGCCATTGTTTTTTTTCCTCTGGGCCTTGTCCTGTATGTTTAGTATTTAGTTTGTCACATTCTCAACAACGCAGAACATAAATAATCACATGCATGTCATCATTTTGTAAAGTGGTATCGATGGCCCTAAAGATCTTAGAAACTTCTTTTGTCTCCCCCCCAAAAATCATTCTGCACTGTGATATATTTACCATTGACCTTGCTGCTACTTTGATACAGAGTGGGTGATAATGGGGGATGGAGCTGGGGTCAGAGTACTTCTCTTTTGACTTCACCAGGTCCCCCTATGGAGTCAGGTGATCAGTATAAAAGGTGCCCAGTCACAAACAGGAGACACAGCGAGGAACACACTGTCATACTGAGCTCCACACTGCCCATTTGGGACAAATTCACTTTAATGGCTGCTATGTGGAAGGACTCCAACAATGGTAAGAGCTGTTTAATAGATTTTGATCAAAAACAACTTTTTTTTTTGGACATTTTTGTGTTTTGATTCATGATCTGCAGCTGCAAGTTTTTGTTATTTTTTTGCTTTTTTTTTTTTTTTTTTTTTACTATTTCTGAATTAAATACAGTGTTGTCCATTTAACCTGCCTGCAGCACCAGGTGGGTTTTACTGCACCAGAATGATCCAGAAAAGTGATGCTAATATGAGAAAAGCCTCTTAAATTATTTTTAGATCCCTCTATTAGGTTGTACAGACACTTTTGCATTTGCATCAATCTGCAACCATGGCGGCTTTAAAAAACTAAGACACAGAATTTGCAAATGCTTGAACCGGATTTGGTTTTGAACACAGTAGCAGTAGAGAAAACAGATCACTAGAAATAATAGTTTCTGTACCATTGCTCTACTGTGAAAAAGACCACCTAATAATTTTCAGGAAAACAATACTATCTTTATTTTTACTGTGTTCACTCCGTAGCACAGAAAAGGCACAGTCTGTATCTGTGTATTGAATTAGTGCTATCTGCAGAGTAGTTACAGCAGCGTAGGGACAAACACTACAATGCACAACCGGTCATGAAATGTGATAAGAACAGTGGTTATGGATCTTGACTGATGTACTACCTGCTTTCTCCTCCTCCCTCAGATGATGCCACATCTGTGGCCTCTGGCAGCAGCTCCTCTCGCAGTGCCAGCCGCAGGAAGAGGACCAGCTTCTCCAAAGATCACGTGGAGCTCCTGCGTGCTACCTTTCAGACCGACCCGTATCCGGGCATCAGCCTCAGAGAGAGTCTGTCTCAGGCCACAGGGCTGCCTGAGTCACGCATCCAGGTACACAACCAGCTCGCTTCATATAGCATCTGTGGAACAGATATGATGCTGAAATATATTAAACTGGACTGCTTAACCACCTCAGATAAGTTCAGGATGTGTATTTACTGGATATATGCCCATGCATTACCAATACATGCATAGACTTATATTTGTGTCATATGGTTTTGTACTGTTATATAACTGCCACATAAAGCTTTTTAACTGCATCCTGCATACAGATGTCGATACCATTATCACTCTACCACTTATTTCTTTATCAGTAAACACGACACAAGTAGTTTTTTATCAGGCTCTTGTTTGAAGCAGCAGACAGACTGTGCTGCTAGATCTGCTCCCTCTACTCTACTGCGGCCTATTTGGTCAGAAGATGATTAACAGAACAGAATGTGTGGTTTATCTGTGTTTCTTTAAATTTAAACGCCTTCCTTCTTTTTTTCTCTCCAGGTGTGGTTTCAGAACCGAAGAGCTCGTACCCTGAAGGGCAAAGGATCCAAGAAAGCACTGTGGCAGTGTGAGAGCCCGGTCGGCGATGATTCCCTTCCACCTCATGCTGTTTCCAACAGGGGGCCACGAGCTGGTGCCATCCCTCTGCAGCCCCCACCAGGATACCCTGTCCAGGTGAAGCAGGAGGTGGTTGAAGCCTGCTATTATAGACAGCGTCCTTCTTCCTGTCCTCCCACCAACGAGCACAGACAGTATGACATGTATGGGCTTCAACAGGGCAGACCAAATGGCAGCAGCTACAGCCCTGACCTGAGTGGCTTCTGGCCCCAGCAAGGCAACCACCCCTCCCCTGTCCCTCCTCCGTGGTGCCGCTCACCGATGGAGATGGGAAGCTACAACTCCAACCAGGCAGCCTTCATGTATCCAGGATCAGAAAAGCAGCAGATGTACACAAACGCCCCAAATTCCCACTCCTCCACCCCAGACACGCCTGATTCTGGATACTGGGAGGCCAACCTGGAAAACAGCCAGACAACAGAAGGCCAGTCCTCCCAACTGGAGGATTCATGGAGCGGGGTTGCTGTTGAGGACTGTGGGGAGTCAGTATCTCCGTTGCTGATCCAGCACACCCCGCTGCCTGAGCTGTCCCTCCAAGACATCCTGGAGGAGCTGAATGAGGTCTGGCTGGGCGGAGAAGGGCTGGACAACGACGCTACTGGGGAGACCACAACTTTCTGCTGATGACTCTGTGACCAGTATTTAAAACAGACAATGAAAAATAACATGTATTATTTTAAACATTAGCCATTTGTGTATATCCTCCATAGATTGTACTGAAATGTTCAACATGGGATGCATATTTTCAAAATCGGACAACGCTATCCAATGCCTTGTTTTCTGTTTGTTCTGCACTGACTAGTTTGCTTTGGTTGATATATTTATTCATCTGTTCACTATTTATGACAGCTATTTATGATTTCTGCACTTTTGTATAAATAAATAAATCAATGGTTAGAAAGTGTAACACTGTTTTCTTTGCTTTTGTCATCCAAGAATTTAGCCTGAGTTAATTTATAACTAAAGATCTGGCTCTGTGGACACTAGCAGAGCCAAATCCATTACATGGATTTCTCTGCTATCCAGATGTGACAGATTTGCTATCAAACTGTGTGGAAAGTAGGTCATGGACTACAATCGGTAGATGGTGCCTGTGAGTTGGGAGAATGAGAAGGCAGCTTCTTTCTGACTGGAACTTCTGTCTTCTGTGGGATGTCAAGATTTAGATGTACAATAATCAACTACCATTTGAAAAATAAAATGTTTTGGAAGCAAAAAAAGAAAATTCCTCTTTTGTTCGTATGGTAAAATTACTACTTGTATGTCTTTTCATATAGACAAAAACATTTAAAACACACATTTTATATATGAACCAATATGACATTTGAGTATAGCCCATATTTTTCTTTAAAAGCTTGACTTTTATGAACCCCTAAAAGTTACAAAATGTGGTGAAAGGTCGTTAAATAAATTAAAAATATAGCTAAAGACACAAATAGTTTGTCATCTATAGGTCATCAAATAGGTTGTTTCTTTCTTCTGTTTTGAAGATGCAAGCAGCTCTAAACTCATAAGTTGTGCAAACTAGCTTTGTTAGCTTTGGCTAAAACGTCACGGCAAAGATAGCTGATAAACTGTGTTTAACTACATTAAGCTATTTTCTACTGAGTCAGCAGCTTGCACACAGGAAAACTGTGAAACCCCTCATTTCTATTCTTTATGTTTGTTTGTTTGCTTGTTTGTTTATTTTTTTTGCTTGCGCTGCGCTACAGCGGCCGGCGCGAGCAAATCGCAGCTTGCCGGTCGGACAGAGCGCGCACTCGTCGCGCTCAAAGTTCGGATTTGTTGAACTTTGATCGCTCTGACGTATGACCGCGCGGCCAATAGAATCGAGGCATCCCGCCCGCACGGAGGCGACGTGGCGGAGAGGTCGGTGTTGTGTCTGATTCTTCAAATTGTATGACAAGACTTTGCGATTGCGTTGATACTCGGTCAGAAAAGTTTTCGTAATAGCAAGGACAGTGCGTAGGTCTTTACGTTACGATGTGAAGTGTTATGATATGACGTATGTTATGAATTATGTGTGTTGTTGCGCTATATACATTCAATTGAATTGATTAGTGCTAACGCTCGCTGCGTGCTATCAGGCTAGTGCTAATGCTAGCTACTGAGCACGGGATAAATGCACACTCGCTGTTGAAGTGTTTGCATCAAACTGAAAGCTTGCAGCTTGAGAAGAAGCTGACGTCGCTGGAAGTTTTTTCTAATTCTCTAATCTGCGACTCTCCAGGAGCGGAGCAGTGAACCGGGCACCGAGCACATGCCACGTCCTGTGTGAAAGCCGCTTAAGGCAGAACTTTTGTGCTCTTACAGCGCCATTTATCGGTGAGTAAAAACCACCTACTAATAGGTAGATACTCATAAGTGGTTTTTTAAGAAGTGCTGTGCTGGACTGGTTATAATCAGGGCAACAAGCGCCACTTTTACTATCCTCTGACTGTAGCATCCAGTAGTAGGCCTCTCTTCTCTAACATCGGCATCATAAAGATTTACCAAATGCACTAACCAAACAAACCGCCGCTGTTCTATTTCCTGTCTGTTCATAGAACTAGAGTTGCATCCAGTAACTACTAGCTGTTGTACCTGTTATGTCCTATACCATAAGGCAGTTTCTTTAGCTGCTTGTTTGTTTTCCTTCTTATATTAAAAATGTGTGTCATAATTTTTTTACTGTAATACAGTATAATGTTTATGGGGAACTGTCTATAAAATTATTTGCCAGGTAAGTTTGTTGAAAAGCAGCTTTCATTATAATTTTGAGGAGCATCGAAGGGCTTGTGCTCCTGTCTCAGGTGCACATGCTCATGGGATGCCTAAAACTACCAAGTCACTTTGGTTTTAATGTTTTCACTGACAAAATCCCAACATAGAAATTGTTTTCTCACAACCCAGAAACAGTACAGCATTGTATACCGTACATGCAAGACCACTTTATTGTTAAGAGCACAAGAAACGCTCAATAAACATAGAGAAAAATAGCTGTTTGTAAAATCTTAACTGCTGCACTACTTTATTAAAATCTGTTGATCTGATGCAGTTTCCGTATTTTCCTTGCCTAGTTTATACCAACGGTAGATATCTATGCATGGATATGTCTTTGAGGACCGACAGTCACATTGTATCAGACTAAAAGAAGGACTACTTACTGAAATTCAAAGTGAGACATTATTCAGTGTTCATTTCAGCATTTCTTTAATTAGAAAAACTAAAATAAATTTCATGTTTCAGTTAGTCAGAACCCTATAGATGCTACTATATATAGTGTGTGTGATATATGTACATATATGTATATGGGGGTGTAATGACAGAACATTATTTATTTATATTATTCATTTATTATTCACACAGCAAAAGGCCTTTAAACAAACTCAAATACAAATTAAATAAAAATTTACAGAATTACAAATTTACCTAACATACCTTTCAGACAGACATTTCACTAGCCCACCAACACTCTCTTCATATTATGTGCCAAGAAGATGAGTTTGTCAACATTTTGAGCAACAGTGAACTCTTGGTTGGACCTGGCTCCGACGGTGGCCAGTTTAGGATAGCGGTCACACTTCTGTTTCCACCATCCAAGCAGGCCAGACTGTCCTATCTCTCGCTTGGCACTTTGATCCTGTTTCTCAGGGTGTTCATCATTGGAGTCCGACAGCATTCGCATGGATGTCTCCTGCTGTTTTATTTTTTTTGGCGGTGGCACAGCAGCGATATCCTCGCCATGCCTTTCTTTTGGCTCCTTTTCCGCCTCCCGAACCGCATGCCGCTGGTGCAGATGCTCAGCCAGGCGCACAACCTTCAAATCAAATAACATTTTTTTAGTGAAATCTCAAATCAAATGGGCTGTGCAAGATAAAGCAGTATGGCATATGAATAAATAAATACATAAATATATAATTTGATTCAATTTAGGTAATAATAACAATATGTAGTCGTCACACCTCAATGTAGAGAAGATCCTTCTTCCCGTTGTCGAGGAATCTCAGCTGTTTGCAACACTGGTCCAGTGCAGAGGAGGTGAAGGCTGGTGGGATCCAAACCTCTCAGCTGCCATCTGCTGTCGATCTCCGCGATCAGCGTCTCCTTCATCTCTGCGATGGCAGGGCTGTCATCCTCTTCAGGTCACAGGTGGTGTTTCTTTAGGTTAAAGAACATCTGCAGAGTAGCGGACAACGAGAGATTCTCCTCCTGAGACAGCAGTTCTGTCAATGTTATTCGAGGCCCCAGCCTCTCTGCTACCTCCTGTGCCAGCTTCCACTGGTCTGCTGTCAGGTCCAGAGCGCGATCACTTTTTCTTTGTTAAATTTGGATCTGACAAAACACCGGTCACTGGTCAGCTTTGTTCAAGCAGCCGGCTGACATTTCGCATGTCGAATTCCAACGAGTGGCGACATCCTGAATGAGTTTGTGTTCAGCAACATTCTGCTGCTCCTGTTTCTCATGAAGGACTGTTGTAGCCTTTGCACTTTCTTTTGAAGTGTCCAACAAGATTACAGGCAGCAGCAACTGTGTGGCGTATTCGCTCCTGTTTTAATGCTGTACTTATGCAGTACAGCTGTGTAACGTTTGCCCTGAGCAGCAGACCCCTTGTACCTGGCCCCATTTTTCTGCTTCTTTGGCCAGTGTCTCGGTACACAGCTTCATGTTGCTGGCGTTGTCGTGAACAAAGGTAACTCTCTTGAAATTTGGAATATTAAATGCCTCCACCGCTTCTCCGAGCTGTTGTGCTATGTTAAACCTGGTATGGCGTGCCTCCATTTTTACAGTTTCCAGCACAAAGTCACGGAGTTCCCACTCATGAGTTATGAAGTGACATGTGACAGCCATGTACGCCTCCATACTCACTGATGTCCAGATGTCTGAGTTGCGACATAGTCCCAGAGATTGCTGTGCTTCACAGAGAGCGCCTGTGAAATGCTGGCGCGATTGGGGACAGTGTACTCAGGCTCCAGCATTTTCAGTACATTTCTGAACCCGTCACCTTCTACCACACTAATGGGTATCATGTCCATGGCAATGAAATCCACAATGGCAGCCGTTATCGCTGTCTTTCTTTTCTCCGTCACTGGTTTTTGGAAATGAAGGGTCTGCTGCGTGTATTTGGGGGTGGGGGTCGAGATCGAAGATGTTGAAGGCAGTGATACCTGGGGATGCACCTATAGACCAAATATACTATTAGGCTCAGCAACCAGTCATTTTCCTGCATTGCTCCTAATGTTAATTTAATGTTAATTTTCGGCCGGTTTAAATATTTTCCATGCGATCAAAGTGAGTGAAATTTTTTTTTTTATCATGAGTAACAGTAGCTGTCTGAGCTTCATCACAGCAACAGTAGGCTGCACAAGTAATTGACAATGCTAATTGTAGCTTTATATGAAAAAAAAAAAAAAAACAGCAGCTATTTCCAGCATTCAGGTGACTTTTCATGCTTGTTGTACCCCCATGGTACCCCCAGTTTTAAATGACAAATTTGACACACTGCCTTTGTCTTGTCATTTAATTTGAAGTATTCCCAAACAGCTGAGGTCTTCAGCATTTTGTCTTCTGTTTACAAGCACGGGCGAAGTAAAGCGTGACGTCAGAGTTGGTAGGTCTGCGTGATACAGCCAACCAATTGGCCCATCAAAAGTAACACTGACCCCAAGTGACAGGGTTGGAGGAGGGCGGCAGGTCCATTTCAGTGTAAGGTCAAGTAATTAGATGTGATTTATGTCATAGAATGAGGTAACTTGACAATAACGTAGGTACTCGGTGGCAAGGGGGAAGGCGGCGGGCGAATATTTGGATCTCAAAATTGATATCCCGATACCAGCACGACCGAATATTCGGGTCCAGCCTTAATTATTAGCTGTCAATATTATTTACACCAATCAAGCCATATCATTAAAACCACCTGCCTCGTTTTGTGTGGGCTAGCTTGTGCCTATAAAGAACCCTGAACCATCAGAGCATGAACATGGGACTTGTGGTGGTGTCCTGTGGTATCTGGCGCTGGAACACTGGCAGCAGGTCCTGTGGGTCCTGTGGGTGTCTGGGCCTCTGTGGATCGGACTTGTTTCAGCACTTACCGTATGCACTTGTTCTAATTGGGATCTGGAAAGTTTGGAAGTAGAGGTAAATGACCTGGGCTCTTTATCGTGTTCCTTGAGCAGCAGTTTTTGCTTGTGATGGGTGCATTGGTCTGTCAAGGGATGCTCCTGCTGGCGTGTGGAAAACATGTGGATGTTCTTCACACGTGTGCTTGGTCTGCTACAATGTTTAGGTGGTTAGGGGTAAAGTAACACATGATCCAGGGTCTCTCAGCAGAAACTTGCACTGTAACAAGATGATCAGTGTCATTCACTTGACCTGTCAGTGGTTTAAATGTTGTGGCTGATCAGTGTATTACCTATTCAGTTTGTCTTGTCTGATAACCCTTTGCTAGTTGTGGGGCTTCATGAATATCATTCTGTAGTGCTGTATTAGGGCCGTATTGAGAACCTAGTTTTTAAAGGGTTTTGTAGTTTTAAACTTATAAAAAGGGCCACTTTCTTTTTGCTTACACTTTACCACATCTGCATGCATCAGCCCTGCGTTCTCCTCTGACCTGATGATCCCAACACATATTTCTTTAGCAAACATGCAACGGAAGAAGGCCAGGACGCAGTACACAGGATGTTAGGCTTGAGGCTTAACACTGTTTCCCGCAACAGTGAAACGTGCTCATATTGTTTGTACTGTTTTGGCCTCCTGCCTCCATCCTCACGATGAGAGGAAGGGTGTTGTCCTTTTGTTAGTGTCTAGTGTGGGTTCCTGTCCCCAGAAAGAAAAAAAGAAAAAATACACAATAGGCTGCGACGCACACGTCTTCGTGGCTCTTCAGCTTGCTCACTAAAGATAGACCTGTGGAGGAAACGTTGCAGACTGCTGGTGTCGGGCAGGTGTTCACTAGCTCATGACGCACAGCAAACAAGATGCAGACAGCTGAGTGTTGGGAATACTGGCAATAAATTAGGATTTGATTGATGTATTTCTGTTTAAAAAGTGTCACTTAATTTGTTTTTAGGGTTGAGAAGACTCAGAATTTAGGCCATACATAACAGTAGATGATTTATAGTGGAAGAGATTATAAAAGACAGGGTGCATCAAAGTTATCAAAGATGGATGACACATCGATGTAAAAATGAGTTCGTCGTTTATTACTGCATCAACATGCGCACATTCAGACACTCAAGCCATTTTAGCAAGAGGGTATTTAATTATTATTATTTATACCTTGGTGACATGACGACATTTACATTTATTCTTATTTAAAAGTCCAAAAGGCTTCGAGGTGCATGAAGTAACATATAAAGTCTCGGCCAAAATTTCTCGAATACATTCAAAGTACCAAAGGTAGCTGGCGTCTCTATTCCACACTTAACAGATGTAAGATATCAATTTAAATGATGCAACAAATTAAAATAGTACTGACCCAAATTTTGCTTCCAAACCCAACACGTTAGAGCAGGATCAGTTTGAGGCAATTACTGCAATCTGGAGCTTTTCGTAGCTCTTAATGAAGCTTCTACACATCTCAGCTGGTAGTTTGACTCTTCCTGAACTCTCAGGTTTGATGGGAGACTTCTTTGTTTTAGCTCTTTCATGTTCTGTTGGATTAAGATCAGGATTCACAGCAGGTCACTCCAGGACGGTCCAGTGTTTTCGTTTCATCCATTCCTTTTGCTTTTAGATCTGTTCTGGTTCATTATCCTGTCAGAGGAGTTCTGACCTGCGACAGAGACAGACTCTCTGAACAGTATGTTTCCCCCCAGAATGTCTTGATAATTGTCTGATTTCACTGTGTCCTGCACAGATTCAAGGCATCGTATGACAGATGCAGCATAGCAGCCCCATAACACAACCGAACCTCCTCCGTGTTTCACAGTGGGGGTGTTCTTTTCTTTCATCTATCCAGAGGGCATTCTGCCAGAAGCACTGAGACATGTCAAAATATTTTTTTGCAAACTCTAGTCAGGCTTTTTTTTTATTTTTTATATTTCTCCTTTAAAAGTGTGGTCTTCCTGGCCCTTCTTCCATGGAGCCCAGTTTTAGAAAGTGATATAGGGCTGTACAGAGGCACAGTGGTTAAAGCTAAGTGGTAATGTTAGCATTATAACATGCTGATGTGAATTGCTGATGTGAATTGCCTTTATTTCAGAGGTTAGTGGCGAGAGACGGGAAATGTAAGAAGAGTGGGGAATGACATGCAGGAAATCAGCCATGGGTGGGATTCGATGAATGGCCCCTGCGTTGGGCACTGCAGCCCCTATACATGGATTGTCTGCTCAACCTGTAGAGCTAATCCCTTGGGGGATTCAGTGTTTTGCCCAAGGATACTGTAGCACATGGAAAGGCCTGGGAATGGGATCGCAGACCTCAGAATTAGTCGACCATGATGTCATTGGTTTGCAGCTGCTTGGTGATAAACAAAAGTTTGATTTGCTGGTCGACTGTTGGTGCTCGATTTAAAGTCTGGACTTAAAAAGTCATTAGAGACCGACCAGATGTCATGACAAACCGTTCATAGTTTGACCATAGTTACGGCTAAACTTGAGTCAGCATTAGTGTATGCTGGTGGCAACTGTGGGAGTTGAAGGGCCTGAGAAGTTCAATTCAGTTCGTCCCAGTTTTATTTATATAGTGCCAGCATATTTTCACCAACACCAATTCACAACATATGTCATCTAAAGAGACTTCACATAGTAAGAAGAAAAACTCGTAAAATTATAAATAATATACTAAAGGCTTTCAATGAATCAGTTCCCTCTGAGCATGCACTTGGCAACAAAGTGAAGCCAAGGTTTTGTTGTTGTTGTTTTGTTCTGTTCTGTTGGGTGATGATTTACAGTGAATGAGACGTTATGTAGATTGAATGTCGCTCCGCTGCCAAAGTTTTCTGTCGGGGATTAGTCCTCCAGAGGGCAGTACTACGAAGCGAGATTTGTCGGTTAGTGAGGGAGTTTCCAGTGTTACGAAGGTGGGTCTCTTTTTACTGGCTAGATCTCCATGGTAACTTAGGTTGTGGCGCTAACCTGGTCGGGAGGACGTTGTGTTCAGAGTTTCGGATTTAAATCGGCTGGAAAGAGTTTCTCCCTTTAACCAAATCGTTTCCTGACTGTTATTCATGAGTGATACAGATTCTCAGCTGAGGGAATGTGTTTTGTCTGCGAACATGCTGAGTTGTGTGTTACTAATATCACTGAATGAAGCCGTGTAGTTACAGTAATACACACTGTAAAT